GCCAGAACCAATAAAGCAAAAATTAAAACTAACCTCCACATTTTATTTATTTAAATTTATATAAATTAAGTCCAAATATAACAAAACTTAGTAATCGATTTTTAAGCAATTTATTCTGTCAAATTAAAAATGATTTTAATGCTAAATTTAGTGTAATTAGTAAGAATTACAACGCACATTCATTTTGTTTGTATTGTCTTATGAGGGATTAATAGTTTCTTGGTTACTTTTATGTATGTTTTGGCAATATATGTATATTGCAGAATACGAACAGATTTCGAAAAATGAGGAGTCACTACAGGTAATAAATCTCGAAGTTGGAAACTATATGAAATGAGTAGTAATATTGAAATTTATGCTGGAATATGCTCTTTAATTTCAGTTAATGAATGAATTTGAAATATGTCAAAATTTTTAATTGCTTTCAAGCATTGCGAAACATCGATAGTAATCTTAACTTTTTTCTAATCTCAGAGAAACGATTCCGTCGTAGATAATGCCATGACTAATACTATGAAAAGCGACAGCTCAGTGTATGTATTTTTAGTTCAGGTTTAGAAATCAAGAACTGTAATTCTTATGCAGAAGAGGCTCTTGAAAATTTATGACGAAAGTCAAGTTTTGCTATCATAATTTGCTTTTCAGTTCGATATTTTAGCGGTAATTTAACATGCCACAACAACATCTCTTATAAGTAGCAGTTAGTAAGATTTGATGCTCATTTCTACTTGGTGCAGCATTAAAATTGAATACAGCGTGTTCTAAAGTGTTTTGTATTTCTAATAGCTTTCTTGTATTTTCAGTCTTCCGCCATTTCTGATCAGCCACTGGATTTGTCGAAGAAAGCACACAATACAAGCAAAAACTTATCAGATATGGGTAAGATGAATTTTGGAATTACCACGGATAACATACGGAAAAGTGTGCCAGTTCAAGTATATCGCGCTCCGCAATTTGGCGCACAAAATTTTCACCCCCAACGGTACATTTTTTCAAAAAACTATATTAGCTTTGACTTTATAATAACTTTTCGTCCAAGCATTATTAAAAGTGCTGGTAGTGGTGTTCAGAATTTTGGACTACTTTCTAATTACGGAACGAAAATTTCCCAGTTGATGACTTGCGTAACGCAGAACCACTGGTAAAAAGTATCTCTTAGTTATGTTTCTTCCTCGTCCTTTCCATGTAAATTGATTTCACGAAAATTAATTCTTAGCGATTATTTTAATGTTTTAAAATAAGTAGCAATTGCTAACTCTTTTGGGATTAAAATTTACATAAATCTTGGCCCATGTTACGTATAGTGAGCAGCAGTAATTTGTGTCATAATTGCCTCTTTTCATCGTGTAGTATTGTTACGCTAAATGTTAAATTTGAACTGTTTTACATAATTCTAGCGTTCAAATCAATAGTTATGGAATTGGAAATTCTCCAAGAGGCAATCGTAAACGACATTTCGTTGAAGAACGTACATCTGGAGTCACTGCCAATCCAGTCTTGGCAAAGTTTGCAGCGATCGGTGACCAAAATATCAACGTGGATGAAAGTCGAAACTTTATGGGTTAAATGATACAAGAAGAGTATTGAATGGGTTTTCTCTGATAAATCGGTGTTCTTTGTTGATTGTATCTGCATGAATGTTCTCACGTTCTAAATTTTTGAGCTGTCTTTTTTTATTGTATGATTTCAAAGTATGATCCTAACTACGAAGTTGCTTAGCAAGAATAAATTTTTTAAATAGTATGACGAATTCGTATTAGTGTCATGCATGTAATGGCCATAGTCGAGTCGAGCAATCTTAGCCCGTATCTACAATTAAATTCAATTTTTTCTGTCCCGCAAATTGCAGATTTGATGATCGCGATCATCTGAGATAAGTCTAAGATTTATTTGTACCATTTATCATTAGAATGAAGCAGTTACAAAATCTGATACATTGGTTGCTTTCGACATGCAAGGAGATGAGGTTACGCCTTTTCTTGAATGTATTAGGTGAATTGTCAAGCAACTACTGAGAAATGCAATGCATTTTGATTGTGAAGTGGGAACCACATAACAAATATCAGATTTTCACATTCAAAGATGAGGAGACAATAATTCCATTAACATGGTACAGAATTTCAGATTTTGCCAGATGAAAGACAATTACATGACCTCATCTTTTTCATTTGTTGTAGTATACCACAAATATGCAAATATGGTCTCAATTTGAAGTGTTCTTTTCAATTTGAGTCTAGGGCATTTATGGTTTTGTAGGTTGATAAAAGCAAACAGGTGGTAAGCTATAGTAATATCAGTTTTGATAAAATTGATGAGAAATGAAAGCATTATTTATTCATAGGGAAATCGAGAGTTACGTAGAGAATGTGAGAAATGGAAGAGGTTGACGAAAAATTTACAAGCGAGGTAGGCATCAGTGATTTGGTGGTTTTGTATGCAATAGAGTAGGCTAGTGACACTTTTGCTTTCATGAATTCTTCTATCAGTTGTGTGTTGAGATTAGTCTTAGATGCTAATTGTGACTAATTTGGTTGTGATTGCATAATAAAGATTAGTGTTACAACATCTTAATAATTGTGAGAAGTTCTCGATTTCAACAATATTGCATTGTATGTTTTGAGAACTTATTTTTTGTCAATGTCTCACTAGTTTATTCTTACATTTTAAGATCTAGGTCACATGTGATAAGCACAACATAAAGAAGACAAGTAAATAAATTCAAATGCCTGCTTTTCGATCACCGCTACTGTTTCTTCGGCGCTTATTGAATTGCCACACTTTGGGAGCACATTTATGCGAAATTCCTGTGTCTTCAAATGTAATAAAAGACCGTTTTTACCCGACTAGAGCAGTTCCAAATGCCAATGTCAATAATTTGGATCTCTTAATTACTAACCTTGCTCAAGAAAATTGTGCTGAAGTTACTGAAGTCAGTAAGGTTACTAGTGTGGAATATCTCAAAAAAGTAAGTATGATGTTGCTTTAAAATGATGTTTCTATTTAATATATTTATATTTAGCTTTTCTAAAGATTTCTGTTACATTTGCTACAAAATAGCTTATGATATTAGGCATATATTGCTTGCCTTTGTTTTAAAAATTTAAATATAATTGCAGATTTGTTCAAGACTGAAGCAACCAATAAGTACAGACATTTCTGTGAAGATCTTGTCACGTTTTGCTGAATTAGCCAATGAAGTCGGTGATATTCAATTAATAATCGACTATATCAAAACGTAAGTCTGCTTCCTCTTTGAAAAATCTTCTGCTTAAAAAACTTACTTGAAATTCTTGTTATTCAGAATATTACTGCTGCCCTTAGTAATCTACCGGTAACACTCTCTTCTTCTTCAAAAAATTGTTTGCTTCCATTCAGAAAAATGTATTTACTAGATTAAGTGAAAGAGTTGGACTACAGTTTTTCATTCTTCAATGCAATTCTTTATTTTTTGTCAGTTTTGATCATATTTCAGAGGGTTATTAGTAGAACTCGAAAAAACGTTGAAAACTGAACAGCTAAATATAAATTCGACAGTTGAAGCAATGTCTGCTGTTATCTCTCTCAAACTTTTTGAAGATCCTATTTTTGATACGTTAATCGCTTCTTTACAAAGACATTTTTCGACAGATCTCTTTTCTGCTTCAGTTTCGCCAATCATTCGTTTAGCTCTCTTACTTAGTAAAAATAAGGTTCAGCTACCTGATGATTTATCACAGAAGATGAGAGAATGGTTGCAGTTGAAGGCAAGGTAATACTGCATTATTATAATTTTATTCTGTTTTTGTGATCATTTTTTAGAAAATGTTCTCCAAAACTTTGTTTTTGTAATATGTGAAAAGTATGTCCCATGTGACTGTTTTACTGTATTTTTTTGGCAACTTTTGTTTCATGTAAAGTTAAGTTTGATGTATTTAAAGTTGCTATATTATCTTTTTAAAGCCTTAAATTCATCCCATTGTGTATGTCGATACTTGATTATCTGCTAATCTTTTCAGTGAAATTATTGAACCAAAAGATATCGTTTCGGTAATAATTTGTTGGAACAAAAACGATCGATGGTTCAATATGTTTGTAGAAAGAGCAAAGGGCAGTATATCTTTGATGTCTCTGAGTGAGCTGGTTGACTTAATAGCAAGCTTGGCGAACAATTCAAGTCGACCGCCACACATCCTACGCCTGATCTGCAGTGCACTTGAACAAAATAAGGGAAACTTGATGGTCGGTTCTCATTTTATTATTTTAGTGTACGTTAATTAAAATTGCATATCAGAGAAACAACGAACAATTAGCATTTTTTCTGTTGGTTAGTTATTAATGTTTGTTTAGGTCAATCCGCTCATCACACTGGCCAAATCAGCAGCTAAGTTGCAGTTAATGGATGGAAGAATAAGACGAATCATAGCTGATCAAGTTGTCTCCAACATGGAATCTGTCAGCAAATGGTCACAAATCAATGCAATTGTGGATCCAATGGCAAAACTGCGGATTGGTCATATTCAAGCATGGAGTACTGTTGCTACTTGGATGAAAAATAATCTAGGGTTGTTATTGAAATTTTTAAAAGAAATTCAAAATTGCCAATTTTGCTTCTCCGTTTTTTTTGGTTTTAAGATTCTCCTTCTCTGATCATTTTGTTTTTCATTTATTGGCAATTTTCAATCAGAAGCGCTACTACTGCGGAATTGTCATATGCTGTTCATTGGTGTGCTATTGCTGGGAAAGGTGATTTAATTCAAGATGCTGCGAGGCATCTGTGTAAAATGTTGATTTCTACTTCAATTACTAACTCATCAAAAGCACTGCTTAGCTCTGTTTACGCTCTAGCAATATGCGATCAGCTGTCACCACAATTATCACAAATTATATTACAGCCATCATTTGTTACCAACATTTTAGAAGGGTAAAAGAAAAATTTTCCTTTTGTAAAATCTTTTGCTTTTCAAAGATCCTAAAAATATTTCCTGCATGGCTTCAATCAATTCGTTAAGTATTTAAGGCTGACTGGATTTCGAAAATTGATGGTAATCACAACTATTGCACAGATACAGCTGTATGTTAAAAAATTTTTGAGTACAAGTTGTGAAAGAACTTTTGTGAATATTTCCGATCTCATGCAGCTTTCATCTATAGCTGTGGTTTGTTTTTAAGTAATTTTGGGAAATAAAAGTTTTCTCATTATTTTCAAATTTATTGTATGTGTTTTTTTTTTTGATCTGGTAGGTGAATTTTGTTTGTATTTAATTACTAGTGCATTAATTGATAGAAAACTGCTTTTAGAATGACATGGCTCTGAAATTGCGATATGGAAAGAGTGAAGAAGCAAATGTTGCATATTTCCATTCCTTATTACATAAATTAGTTCCGGTAAATTCGCATACACTACCTCCCAATCTTACTGAAGATGGAATTTTTATTAATGCATTGGTAAAACTTGATATTGAAGAAAATCGCTTCGTTCCTCTTAACCATTTCAGTAATTCCAAAGTCCCTCATTTGGCAGTAATTTATCTTTCTTGGAAGGATCGCGTTTCACCGGTTAGTATTTAATGAAGTAAATTTATATCTTTTAGGTTTTTTAAAATTAATTTTGTCATTCAAACTAGAGTACTTTAGTAGTCAGATGGACACAAATCAGTTTTTTCACACTTGAGTATTATTGCTCGAAATGTCATTGCTTTATTTGTACTTTTTTTTTACAGTGTAATGATTTCGACAAAGCTGCTCTCGTAGGACCTATATTGCTGAATAGCCGCTTGCTGAAAGCCAAAGGATTTGTTCCTGTGTTCTTTTCGCAAGATGATTTCGATTCTAGTGCACCTTTGAAGAAGCAGTTTGCTGTTATAAAGGCAAAACTTGAAGAAGCAGCGAATGTAAATCAATGATAAAGTTGATATATTGGATTTTTAACTATGGTTTGATATTGCTGCAGAATATAATGCAATGGTTTGTATAGTTGTGCAACGCTTGAAACCTGGCTCATTTTTATCTTCTTTTTTTATTGCTATATTTATTTTCATTTGCTTGAAAATTAAATTTTCACAGACTAGGTAGCAAATTTTTGTTTTTTATTCATAAATTGTTATAAGCGTTGAGGTAGTTTCATTTTTCAATCTCTTGGTTGGAAATCCGCAACTTTCAAATAATTATGTTGAGTTATAACTAAAAATTGTTACAGTTTAATGACGTATTTTTGTTTATATAGTAACCATTAAGATCCAGTTTATTTGTGCAGTTTTTGATAATCATTTTGCTTGTGTCAAACATGTTGAAATCGAGTATAGTTCTATAAAACTGTTTAGATTATTTCACTGAACTGAAAAAAAATTTCAGGTTATTTTTCGTTAGTTATTACACTTAATTCATTGAAATGGTATTTTGTCTTCGATAGTTGAAGTACCAGTTGTTGTAGGAATAGATAAGTGTACTTTAAATATTTTAATGTGATTGTTTGGAAAATTACTTTATGTAAATCTTATGATTCTTTGGAGACTTGGGCTATGCTGTAATCAGTTAATGAAGCCATTTTTACGAAGTAAATTTGGTGTTAGTAGCTTCTAGTGTCTAGGGTTCTTCTTCTAGATAAATTCCCCAGAGTTCTTGTCTGCCAGGTGAAGTCATCTTTTTTATTAATTTCCTAAGAATTTTGACAGGGATTTGTGCTTCATAATTCTAGACTTTTTACAGAATATGAGTTATGTCTTTATGCCCTTATATTAAAAGTTATTTGGCTTTATCATTCTAGTAAGCATTTGCGAGATTTTAAGAGGTTCTGTGTAGTTTGACTTGAAATCATATTTAAGATTTTAAATGTAAACGAAATCGTTGAAATAGTCATCCTAATTTTTATATAATTTGGGCATGCATTGTTATGGAACGAAGCTGTATCTGAGATTAGGGTTTTCTAAAAAATCATCTGATAATTTCTACTTAATGTAATGGACGCTTGGATCCGGGTGTATAGTAATTAGGTTATTGATTTCGGCTATTCGCAGAAGGTAGAGTAGGATGAGAATATAACAAAATATTTAAATTACTAATATCGGATGCATATAATGTTTTTATGGGTCGATATTGTGACATGGAAATAAAATTTCTTGTATAGGATTGGTCTAATTAATTTAAATACCCTTATTCTTTGAATATGTAGTCATGGAATGGAATCATAAGAAATTGTTGGTGTCTAAAATTTAGAGAGACATTAAAAGTTTTTTGTTTTTCATGGAGTTCAGAAAATGAGTATATTACAGTTACCGAAAATTTGATGAAGAATCATGTTTTGTGTACCAGGGAAAGAACTCCAAGAACGGGAGTTATTTTTTTTTGACGCTGAAGACATGATTTTTGATCAAAATGGTTAACGTTCCTTTGCATGACAGTTCACAGACGTTTTCTTTCATCGATTTATATGTGGTGTTAGCTGCGAGAATAAGGTTTACTGCAAATTACTCTCTTATTCTCTTTGTAAATTCAGTTAATTGAAATATGAATGCTTTATAATCATCGTTCAAGCATTACGTGTGGAGCGACATTCAGAAAGAATTTACATTCTCTGATATATTCAAATTCAAAAGGTTAATCATAAAGTGAACAGTATGAAGAATGAAGTTTTTCGATATATAGCATTTATATCATGTAATAAACAGAGTAGAGGTTACATCTATTATGAATTACTTCTAGAGAGTATTGATAATCTGTTTTCGTAGTGATATTGTGAGAGAAATAAAGTTCAAATACAAATTAATAAAAAACTGAAGTTTGAAATCCGATTTTGGCAAATGGCTTGTGTAAATATGCTAATTCACTTTAACAAAGTGTTAAGTTGCTTCATCAATTTTAGTTCTTGTAGTGAGTGTAGGCATTCAATAATATCTGGTCGAATGTCAGCATATTTTAGGTTGGCATTGCGGCAAAAATTTTTTGAAACAATAGCTTGGCGATGTAATAACAAGCAATCAAAAAAAGTGTGAAAATATGGGAAAACTGAATAAGATATAAATTTGAGAAAAAAAATTGGAAAGAAAAATAAGCGAAATTTGACTTGCTTCTAGGCATTTATAAAACGAATGGAGACCATTTTAAAAAAAGAAGAGCGAAAAGAGAAGACATTTGAGTAAGTAAGTATTGAACATTCACAAAACGAGAGTAAGGAACATGAAAGTTGTCTGAATTATGCAGCTGCAATTATTTGGGATAACTCAAGCAGGATAAAAGCTTTGTGCTTGATTATCACAACTGATAAAAGCATCTGCTAAAAATTAATGACAAAATTGAAGTATGTAGTCTGATTCTGGAAACAATGGATAATACTTTGTAAACACTACAATTAAGATGTCATAATAAATTGAAGAAAAAGCAGAAGTGCAAAGTTCCAGATGACAAATGTTGCAGGTAATACCATGTGCTTATTTGTGAATATATGAAGCATTCTTCAATGTTATTGCGATATTCTATTTATTGCTTTCAATTTATTTACCTAATTCTTATTTGAATTTGAATCATAATTTTGATTAAATGTATATATCCATGTATTATTTTCTAGCTGTACTTTTCTTTTGCATCATTTTCACAAATAATTCGCAGCAAACTACTATGAAATACAATCATACATTTGAAATAAAATAGAGAAATGAATTTTTTGAAACATTTTTATATTAGTATATAAAAAAGTAACATCTAGCACATGAAATAATTAATAGCTAAAAATCCATTTAAAGCAGTCGATATTTTTGTTTGCTCAAGCAGTGAAGTCATTTTGTGAATTCATGGAGTATTAGTGTATTTCTTGAACACTATCTATATTTTTGGCAGAACGTACTATATCGTATGTATATGTTCAGCTAACTAATTAATTCTTCAAAGCAAACGAGTAATGAATTTTGAAGACTACTAATGAATTGCTTCAGATTAGATATATGTTTGATTATGAGCAACGATCTCTCATAATCGAGCACATAAATCTGAAGAATGAGAACATTCTGATGCATCTTTTTCTTGCTTTTTTAATGAAAACAGATAAATGTTTTTTTTTGTGCTCTTTCTGTCTGCTTGTGCGATCACATTCATCAGTACAAATCAAAAAATCATGTCTTCTTGTTTATAAAATTAAAGCTTTAAATTACTAACATTGATAAAGTTTAAATTAAATCTTTATGCGTTTTTTTGGTGATAATTTTGATTTGTTTGGTATTTTATTACACAACATTTGTTCACAAAAAAATGCAATATGGACCAGTTTTCACTGTACAAAGTTACTGGCACTAAGAAAAGTGCTTATTTTTTTAAAATTCAGCCCTTTGATCCTTTTCTATTATTACAAATGTGCAACTGTGAGGGGTAAAAAGGGCGGCCCTACTGGAAATGTTGCTTAATAAATGGTATGAAAAAGGAAGAATATGTCCGATCATATTACACAGGTAAAGGCACAATGCTGTACTATTTTTACTCAAATTTTGCTTTTAATCATGTCAAAATACTTCATTAATAACAAGTATTGATTGTCATTCTTCGTTCTCTATTCCATCTGAAGGATTTTAAAGTATTCCAATAAAATGTTCCTTTGAAAAATTATTGTTTAAGAATATTCAAGTTTAAAATTCGCTTTATTCAGCAAATATATTGTAGTAGTGTAAACTGAAGTACCGTTTTTTACCTTTTGGAAAAGTAATTTGCTTTAAAAAGATCCATAGCAAGTTCTCGTTGTTTATGAAACTCCTTTTCTATATATCAAATTAGAGTTTATTTCAATAATGTAAAAGATTATTTAGAATACTTTAGAAGTTTGTTCAGTGAAGTCGTTTTAAGTTTGCACAAAATTTTTATAAAATTACAAAAGTAACTCTTGTGGTAAAAAGAAATAAATTTTGTAATTATATGATTATTCTGAATAAACTTTAGCTTGCTTTATATTTGATTTGTTTTGCTATTCAGTGTTATCCATAATTTATTTTTAGTAAACTAAGATTTGAGTAAGTTGACAACGCAATCCGTGATCGTTAAAAATATAAAAATATAACAGTAAATTCAAGAATTATGGCAACAAAAACAGAACTAGGGGGTAATTTAAGTAATATTTTTTTAGAAAAGATAGAAAAGATTGAAATGAATAGAACCTCAAATACATGCATTCGACAACCAACTACGAAACCAAAGCTTGGCATTTTTGTTTATTTGCTAGCATTTATGGCAGTGATTGGTGGTTTTCTGTTTGGTTATGATACGGGCATTATTTCAAGTACAATGCTTTTTTTGGTTCATAATAAAGGAATGAGGCCAATGAGTACATTATGGAAAGAAATGATCGTTAGTATAACACCAGGTATTAATTACTCTTTATTCTTTTTCATCTATGATTTTTTAAAGCAAATTTTATTTAACACCTTAAAAGCATACTTATTAAGGTATGGCTGCATTTGGTTCACTATTTGCTGCTCCAGCAACAGATTATTTTGGGAGGAAAAAAGTTATCTTAGCTTCCAGTATTGTATTTATACTTGGTGCAATTTCTTGTACATTAGCACCTGAAAAAGTTACATTATTTATTGGTAGACTTCTTCTCGGTTGTGCAATCGGTAGGATCATTTTTATTATCATTACAGTACCTGCAATTATTTTACATTTGTATAATTACTGTGCTTCTACTATCTATTTTTTCTTAGGATTTGCATCAATGACAGTGCCTATTTATGTTGGTGAAGCATCTCCCGTTCACATTCGAGGTATTCTACTCACTGGTTTCCAGTTAATGATCACGTTTGGTCTAATGGCTTCTAATATTATTGCTGGTATATATTATTCGATTGAATTATTAATTTACTCAAAATATGATACAGCAAAAACATAATGAATATTAAGAGTAGAAATAATGCAATGATTTGAAAAAACGACAGCTCTTTTTGTTTGTCTAACTAATAAGTATTTACAATTAAGGTGGATTCTCATATATTGATCCAGTGAACACTGGTTGGCGGCTAATATTCGCATTTGCTGCTGTCCCAGCCATTATACAATTTATTGGATTCCTCTTTCTTCCAGAAAGTCCTCGTTGGCTGTATAAAATGGATAGGAAAGAAGAAGCCCATAAAGTTAATTTACTCGCATTTATTAAATACATTTTCTGTAAAAATATAAAGCTTGCAAAAAAATTATTGCAAGCGTAATAAAAAAATAATATAAAAAGTAAATATTTGTAATTATTTTCACACTTTGAATCCAGTTTCTTCATAGTTCTAAAAATGGCTAACTTTTAAAAGACTAATCTACCTTTGCTGATAAACTACCCACATAAGTTTTTCATTTTACCATACACTAAAAAGAACTGCATTCAAAGTGGGGCAATCATTTTTGAATAAAATTTTAATTTATTGAGAAGTGATGACAAGTTTAGGTTTTAAGCAAAATCTACAATGGAGAGAAAAACTGGATCACATATGAAATTAATGAAAACCAAGAAGCATTAGAGAATGAAAGAAAAGCCTTAGAGACTATTGGTGGTATTTTTTTGTTTGAAAATTTGTTTGATCACTACAATTTGAACACTTTTAAACAAAAATTTATCTGGTATTTATGTTTTATTCCAGTAATATCTTGCTTAATTTTTATTTTACTTTGTATACAGTTTATATGAAACAGAATTTAAAATAACAGATGTCTGACGTTGATTATTCAGAATCCAAATACTTTATTTCATTTCGATGAATTCTAATAACAATAGAATAACAGATGAAAATTTTTTAGTTTTACAATACATTTAAATTTTATGCAGTTAAGATATATTATAGGAAAATATCATGTGCATCATTTTAATAGTAGGAAATCAGTTTGGGAGTATTTTAAAAAATTACAGATTCCATGGTGATTGAGCGCATTTTAAAGACAAGTCATGTACGGAAAGCACTTTTTATTGGGTGCTCCTTACAAGCATTCCAACAATTTTCTGGAATAAACACTATTATGTTCGTTCTTAGCAACCAGCATTTGTTAAACATTACTCACAACTTTCACTTATTTCATATAATATCAACATGGCTTGAAAATGATTCAACACATATTGATAATTTACGAATTATTATTATTATTTTTGAGTATAAAAAATTATGTGACTGGATTGGAATTAGAGCCAAAGCATATCAAACAGTAACAGATCAAACATTTTAAATTAAAGGTATTATACTGGTACGATAATTCAAGCATCTGGGATTCAAAATCCGCATACCGCAATTTGGATTTCAGCTGCTATTTCAAGTAAGTATGCAATACATAAGAAGTGAATGACAATGTTATTAGTCTAAATATTTTCCACAAATGCAGCATAAAAAAGGAAACAACCAAAAATTCTATACTATTTTCATTTTATGACTTCAATTGAATACATATTTAGTATTGCGATTTTCTTTCTTGATCTTGTTAGTAATTACAAAAATTATTGGGCAAAGATATATTTTAGTTGAGTTGTTTTGCCTTCTAGCAGTCTTTTGATCTTTGATCATACCAATGACAGTATTTTGTTATGTAAGTGTTGACGGTAAAGAAATATCGGTAACTATTTGCTACTATCCAGCTGCAGTTATAGGAATTCAGCGCATATTTAATATAGTGCTTAAATTCTCATCTAAATGATGAAATACCAAGTGAATTCATCGCGTAAAAGATACAGTAAGTCTATATCTTATTACATGATCTATTTAAGGTATCAATTTCTTTGCCACCTTTATGCCTATGTATCTAATAGAGCGTATTGGACGTCGATTACTACTTTTTATATCAATGGCAGGCGTTATTCTGGCATTACTTGCTATGGGAGCTGCCTTTGTGCTGATCAATCACGGTTCGGCTCCTTCACTTGATCCAACAACTGCTACTGTCAATTCTTCCGTTATTCATTACAATTATTGTCAAGCTTTGAGGTCCTAAAAAAGTTCACTTTCGATGCATAATTTGCATATTATTAATTTCACATACATTCTTTTGTGTTTGATTAATTTTCACAAAAAAATTTGCTTTTATCCTACCTAAAGGTTTGCTTGGTATAATAATAGAATCATATACACATGTGCTTTCTAAATTGAAGTACATACACACAAAGGGTCATCTCTTCAAAATTTCAACATAATTTATCATATAATATGCAAAATTTGTTAAATTTATTACTAGCAAGCAAAGTTTTAATTGGGATAAAATTTGGTTAAACACGACACCAATTAATGGTTAGAATATGAAATTCAGATGATGCTGCTCTCTGTTTAAAGTAACAATTAATAGGTATCTAATTACAAGCATAATATGATTTTAAAATGGAGTAATTGCAGCAATTGTGATCACTGCGTTACCGAAGAAAAGTGTGGTTTTTGTCAGCCAGATGCCAATTCAACTGAAGGGTTAAATTCTTGCTATATAGTTATTTTAATCAAACATCTTAAGAGGTGCAGTTTGGAAGGCTGTAAAGCAAATTGAAAGACAAAACTTTACAGAACTACTTGTGATAATGTTTTCAATTTACCATTGATTTTCCAATTTCCATCCAAATTTTCCAAATTGAAGAAAAACTTTTTTAGTTACTGTTTACCGTATTCCCATGAATTTCCTGATCAGTCACTTACTGGGCCATGTGAAAATAGAAATTTAACATCAGTGACCAAATGGGAGCATTCATTCTGTCCATCAGAGTACACATTTTTGCCAATTATTGTAATGGTTTTCTATCTCGCATTCTTTTCAATCGGTATTTATTATTTTTCATGTTAAATTTTATGTTAAAAAATAAAAACTTATTCCAAATTTCCAAGTTTTAGGTAACATTTTTTCTAAAAATAATTTCCTTAATAACTGAAACACAAAAACTCTTAATTTAAAAAACTGATTGATGTAATTATAAGAGCAAATCAAAATCTTGTGAAGAAATTGAGCTAAATGAATTCTTCTCTGAATGCTACAGCAATTTAAGAAACTGAATTTACAATTTTTTGAATAATGTCAGGTTATGCACCAATGCCTTGGGTACTGAACGCAGAGTTTTATCCAATTTGGGCCCGAAGCACGTGCTGTGGCTTATCAACCTCGATAAACTGGACTTTTAATTTGATTATTTCGTTAACATTTTTATCGCTTACACAAGCTGTAAATAAATATGGTTCCCTTTCACTACTTCATTTGCTTTTATTAATATTTAATTGTAGTTTAAGACTTTTTTTAAATTGAAATAGTAAAAATATCAGAAAGCTTTTCAGAAGCTAGTAAAAAGCTCGACTTCCTTCTCACTTCTTATTACATCCAATAGATATCAAGTTTATCGTCAATAATAATGTCTTTTTAGGTGCATTCTTCATTTATGCAGGGATAACGTGTTTCGCATTTGTCTTCTTTTTCTTTGTCGTACCTGAAACAAAAGGTCACAATATTGATGAGATCGAACTACTGTTTATGTCTCGAGACAATCAAAGACAAGCCAAAATGAGATTAAAAGCAAGGAGTGACGCCAGCAAAAACCATGGTACTGTCAACTTAGGTTGCAGTCAGTCGGATTTACTCTAAATCTTACCTCACTATAGTTTTGAATTCTCACTTGATACGATTTTCCATTTATTTTGTTTTGTACTGCATTTATTGCTGAGTTAATGAGTGCTTCTGCCACCGAGCAGAGATGTAGCAAACGAACTTTCGATAATATTCAAATGAAATAATCGCAAAATACAAGAAATTAACGATGAAAACATTAACTTATGATTCTTTTAATATTGATAATATCCCTGGTAAGTTCAATTCATTTTTCATGATGTACTTCACACTTTTTATCTTTTTTGAAATACTTCATTGGTAATGAGTACATTAATAATAAAAAGTGACGACAACTATTATTACTATTAGTATTAATAATTATTAATAATAACATTATTATTAAAATGCTTGTAATTATATAAAGTACGAATGAACAAGTAATGTCGAAAAATTTCGGAGTCGGTAAACTCTACGCTTGTAATTTCCAGTCATTTTTAAATTAGTTACACTCAAGAAATGCCTGCCAAACTAAATGATAACTACTCAAAAACTGCTTTGTCATACATGTCTACGAGTTTATCGCCCATTCCTCTACTGCTGTAGAGAAAAAACTAAGATCAAGTTAGACTACACTAGATTTAAGAATCTTTAGTGGTATGAAAGAAAAATTTCGATATATTAGCAATTAAGATCACAAAATACACAGAGAGGTTAAAACAAAAACATAAAAACATGCAGTAGGAAGATCTACTTTATAACATGGTATTAAAAAACGTCTTGTTTATATTCTTGAGAACTAATTACTTCATGTTCGTAATTAAGCTGCATATATATGAATACCCAAAACAGTTCAGACAGTTCAGAACTAGAATCCATCCTCACTATTTAGATACACAGCTCCAGGAAAACAAGATGTCCATCCTTTCTTGAGTACTCTTTATCAAATTTGATCATATAAGCAACGCACATGAGATTGACTAAACTTCTTTTGTAGCTATAGACAAGTTTAATTAGCTTGTTTTGGAAAACTCGTAACAAGATGAATGTTAACAATGCAGTAGCATGATTTATCACTACTGTTTGTTTGATAATTGGTTTTTATTTCTGAACGGCGCTTTATAAAGAAGGTACAAATTAATAAAGTCATGGTAATCTAAGGTAGAGTTAAAATATTCTAGAATTGTTTTCCGCCCGTCAGAAGCGCACTAGGAGACATAACGAGTCAAATGTCTCAAAAAGAAAAAAAAATCA